ACGAAACAAACAGATTCTGGTTTCTCGTGTATGAGAGCTTTTATCACCTCTTTTTTCCTGCCTTTCGCGTTGCGCCGCGGCATCGTCGTGTAGACGTTTTTCTCTACCTCGAATCCAAATATAAACGCTATACAAGGTGCACTCAAAAAGTCCCTTTAAAGGTTAATTATAAAAATAAATATACAAAAAAATAAAATCCTAACGAGTATCAAAAGACTCGTCACAACTTCTAATGTAATATACTGTTTTTAGAAGATGCTGAACACGCAAGTGGTTCATTAATTCCAGAAAAGAGTCGGGAACGATATGAAAAAGAACTTACCATTTTCGATGAATGGAGGATTGACACAGGAGTCAGTGATATTGCATTGACTGAGACAATAGTGTTGGCATACGTTTCTTATTTAGCTAAAACTTTGAAGGCTTCAAGCTTATGGACTAAATTTTCGATGCTGAAGAAAATTTTGATGGTTAATGGATATGGTGATATATCTAGGTTTGTAAGAGTGTTGATCCCTTATTCTCCGCCCTTGACCTAGTTATGAACAAGGTTGTAACCATCAATAGATTTTAAAGGAAACATTTTCAGAACAACAAAAAATATATCTTAGGCAACTTGGATTTTTTTATTTTCATTTTAGCATTTATAGAATTTAGAAATAAAAATCGCAGACTATTTCTATGGTCTCACGAATACCATGGTTTTAAATAACTATCTGACGCGAGTAAAGTTTTTAAATAAGTGCAAGAGAAAAGTTTTATGGATATACATAGGTATAAGAGTGAAAGGCAAGTAGCTGGGGCTAATTATTTTTGAGTGTAGTAGTTATTTAATTATTAAAACTTACCTTATAAAATCAGACGGCCAATAAGAATATTAAAAATCATCTAATATCACCTAGATATATTAAAATTCAAATCAAGTTGATTCGTTGACATCAAAAATAATTCTCACAATACGAATCAAGGAAGAAGAAAACGACAAAAGACATGATTTTGTTGAAATAACGAATAACGGTTCCAACCGTTACACATTCTCTACTTGATTCTGTGCTTTCAAGTTTTGGATTCGTCTTTTGAGTTTCTTTTTACAAGGGCAATCAAGAGGCTTCTCTTCCTAGTCTATATGTACGTACAACTTTGTTGATAAACATAAGGTCCAGGAAGAGCTAAAAAAGCTTCATCACAGGCATTTGTTACCTGTTCAACACAACTTTCACACTATAAATTTATGAAAATGATAAATTCGCTAAGAAAAAAGGTGTATGGAACTAAATTAACAATAACCATAATATTTAAGTTTCTGGTAAATTGGTTTTATATTGTATGTGTAAAATAAAAAAAGTTGATCAATTTTCTTAATGTTAGTAACAAGTTGAAATTAAACATTGTGTTCGATGAACCAAACCATAACTATAACTTAACATAAAAAGGGTACGTACGACCATGACAATGGCAATTTTAGGTTATAAATAATGATGTATTAATTAAAATTTAATGCCTAGTGGGGTCGTATCTTATGGGAAACAATTGCCTTATGGGATCTCCATTAGTATTATACACATACTTTGATTACTATACGGTGCAAGAGAGAGGTCCGACACGCCCAACATAGAGCGCGGCCATTTTGATTCCTATGCCACAGTTTATAGCTAAAGGATCAGATCGCTCACTCTGCGTCGGCACTTTTGATCTCAATGTTCCAGTTTATACACTGCGCAACTCGAATAATACAATATATGACAACAGCCTATAATAAAACAGCAGTCTTCTGCGTATCCTGAATTTGTATCCCTGGAGTGGATGTTATTTTGGAACTTTCAACTGCTCCGAGTGAGCTAACTGATTCTTTAACAATAAACTGTGACTCCAAAAATATTATTTACCACATACTTTGATTTTCTTTTACTATACGGAGAATGGTCGCACTGCGCAGCTTTCTGAGTGCCTTTTAAAAGGAGATAGAAAACTCCGCCATTTTGAACCTTTATTACGTATTGCCTACATCTTGGCGCAATATTTTTAATAGGTGCGTTTTAATCATCCGCTTCTGCTTCAGAATTGTCGGTTGTCTTGTTTTAATCTGACAGGTTAAAACGACTAAACCGACAATTCCGGAAGCAGAAGCGGATGATTAAAACGCACTTGATATTTTGCTTGCTGCTGTCAGTGTCAGTGAATATTATTTTTGGAGTCACAGTTTATTTCTAAAGAATCAGTTAGCTCACTCGGACCAGTTGAAAGTTCCAAAATAACATCCACTCCAGGGATACAAATTCAGGATACGCAGAAGACTGCTGTTTTATTATAGGCGGTTGTCATATATTGTATTATCTGAGTTGCGCAGTGTATAAACTGGAACATTGAGATCAAAAGTGCTGACGCAGAGTGAGCGATCTGATTCTTTAGCTATAAACTGTGTCATAGGGATCAAAATGGCCGCGCCCTATGTTGGGCGTGTCGGACCTCTCTCTTGCCCCGTATAGTAATCAAAGTATGTGTTATTTACTGACACTGACAGCAGCAAGCAAAATATCAGGTGCGTTTTAATCATCTGCTTCTGCTTCCGGAATTGTCGGTATAGTCGTTTTAACCTGTCAGATTAAAACAAGAAAACCGACAATTCCGAAGCAGAAGCGGATGATTAAAACGCACCTATTAAAAATATTGCGCCAAGATGTAGGCAACACGTAATAAGGGATCAAAATGGCGAAGTTTTCTATCTCCTTTTAAAAGGCAGGCACTCAGAAAGCTGCGCAGTGCGACCATTCTCGGTATACTAAAAGAAAATCAAAGTATGTGGTATTATACATCTATGATTGTCATGCTCTATGAAATAGGTTAAGGGTGGATAATAGGGATCAACCGTCATATATTTGACTAATCTTTTTTGTTTTTTACACTGGTATTCTAAGAATTTCAGTGGTAGTTATAATTATTCTTCTCTTGTAGATTCGGAAAAGTTATGGAGTTCATGAAAACTCAAAACGTTAATTATATGCCAAAGACGTCTAAATCATTGTCGGTGGAGCAGTGTCGACAATTCATTTTGGAATCTACAGATGAATACTTGCTGTACAAAGTCATCATTATCTTCGGACTGTACGGTGCTTGTCGTCGCAGCGAATTACTTAAATTAACAATAGACGATATCGAAGATCACGAAAAATACGTACTGATCCATTTGCAAGATACAAAGAGATCGTTCATCATTCCTGACTCTAGTTTGTCCTTTAATCCTTACGCGATATACAAGAGGTACGCCAAGTTGCGTCCGCGTAATATCGAAAACAGACGTTTTTTTATTGGATATAGAAAAGGAAAATGCGTAGCACAACCGGTTGGTATTCATACTATTGGTGGGGTACCGAAGAAAGTAGCGGAGTTTCTTGGTCTATCGAATCCAGGAAGTTACAGCGGACACTGCTTCAAACGAAGCGGTGCAAATATGCTTTCATAGTCTTGTGGGGATCTGTGAAAGAGATTGGTTTTCAAATACAGCCAAGGTTCAACAAAAATTTTAGCTTTATTTACTTTAAGATTTTATAAAAGTATACAAATAAACCATTATTTTATAGAAATTCGTAGGAATTTAAATAAAAACAAATTAAGTTTTTTATTAAATGTTTTTTTTAAATAAGAGTATTTTTTATTGTACTCATATTTATAAATATAATTTAATTTCGCTTGAGATCTCCGAATATTGTTACTATTTTTATAAGTAAACAATTCATGCATTTTTTAATCATAAATAAAAGAAAAATAAAATTGTTTTTCATTTTTTTCAATTTCTTTTATAGGCGCCACTGTTCGTAACTGCTGTCAAATTTTCAAACGGATTAGGTTAGACATAGCCGTTTACTATCGATCTAAGTTTTCTAATCATGAAAAGTAAATAAAAAAAATTATAAAAAATATAAAAAAATCAAAAAATTAATGAAATTAAAAAAAATTAAAAACAAAAATTTAAAAAAATGTTTATAGAAGCCATTGTTCATACAATAAATTTTTTAAACAATTCGTGCATTTTCTTAATCATAAATAAAATTAAGTTAAAAAGCAAGAAGAAATTAAAAAAATATTTAAAAATTTAAATATTTCGTTATTCGTACAACTACTGTCAAATTTTCAAGCAGATTTGTTATAAATAGAGCTAGGAATATATGCAAAACGCCGTATTTTGCATATATTGCATATATATACAATTTTTTATTTTGAATGCATATATTGACATTTACTTCTGTAGATGTCGAAAGGAGATTTTTTTGTACAAGTACATACTTACTGATAGGAGACAATCATTTAATACAGATAATTTAGAAAAACATCTAATTGTTCATTCGTTTTATAATAATGTTGATTTGTAAATAAAATTAGTTAATAATTAAATAATTATTAAGTTTTATATTAGGTATTGTAAAATAAAACAAATAATAAATATTAATAAACTATTTCGATCAAATAACAAATTACTCTTATTGCATTAATTATGCTCTGCATATTTTTCAATTTTTTACGCATATATTAAAGTATTTTGCGGCATATATATGCGCATATTTAACTACTTTTTGGGTGCATATATTCCTAGGTCTAGTTATAAACATACGACTTAGTTTTCTTATCATAAAAAAATAAAACAAAAACAAAAAATATATAAAAACAAAAAAGAAAGGAAAAAAAATGGAAAACAAAAAACTTTAAATAAAAAAATTTAAAAATATAAAAAATAAAAAACTAAAAAAAATAAAAAAGTTAAATTATAAAAAATAAATTATAAAAGAAATAAATTATAAAATAATTTTGTTGGTTGGCTAAGGCCAATTTTTTGTTTTTTGTGTTTTTTTGGTGGTAACATATCAAGAACTTGGTAAATTCAATATTTTAACCACTTTTTTGACATGCTCCAGTTTTGCTTGCGCTTTTGCAGTCTTGCACGCTTTTGAGCTATTTTTGGTGGCTTGTGACCAAAATATTGTGGGTTCACAATGACAGAATATAGATCTCAGTACAGATTAGTGTTTTAGAAAAGTTTATTATAAAAACTGAAAGTTTTTTACCTAAATCTGTACCAAACGAATCAGTCGTTTTGAAATGCGCATACAGGTATTTCAAAAACTAATTTTTCGTTTTTTAGGTACAGTATACTTTAAAAAAGGCTGGAAATATCCCATACTCGTAGCCGACATGAACGAATACAACATACAAACGTTGAACAAAGGCAGAACCAGATGGACGTGCAGGAATTACAAGAAGAGCAAATGCAACTCGATCGTTTACACTTACGGGAAAACCGTGAAAATCTTAAGACACCATAATCACGCGCCTACAATTGAGCGCTTAGACGACCCGGAATTGATCTCGCAAAAAGTTAATATTATCAGAGAGGAAGGTCGCGTTGTTAAACGTGTCAACGTCGATTTTTTGATTGAAAAGTTGGATTAAAGTTACTAGCATCTATGATTATTTACTTATAATTACTAACACAAAATGCGAGACAATAGTAATAGTGAGTAAGACACTTCAGCGCACATTCCTAATTATTTCCCCAGATATGGAAAAAACTAACTTTTTATTAAATGGCAACGACGAAATACAGATGCATTCATTTCATATTTCCATTCATATATTGATACGATAGACTTCTATGCATTGTATCTTTGTCAGATGTCAACAACATATCGTTTGTGTTCACTTGCACTGTGTTCTATTAAGTGGGTCGACAAAGATAGAGATGATTCTTGATAGGGACGTATCACGAATATTATCATACTTTATTTTATACTGTCATTTAGAAAAGCGCCGTTGTCAAATTTACCATTTAGGAGATGATTTAAGGAGTCAATAAAGTTATGAGTCCATCAGGTAATTAGAGATTTTAACAATCGGTTGTAAATCTTTAAAAATAAATACAAAAGCAATAATAATCTATGAACCTAACAACGTCAGAGTCTAGTGAAAGGTGTCAGTTCGCCGTTCATCGTTATCGTTGACATAGACGTTGCCATTTAATGAAAACTTTATAGTTTTTCCCCAAATCTGGGGAAATAATTTGGAATGTGTGATGAAGTGACTTACTACTAATAGTATTATCAAATCTCGTAAAAAAAGAAGTTTTACTAAGCTTGTTCTTTAATATAACAATATAGTTAACTCCTACCCAGTTCAGTGACGTATTTAGGAAGGGGGCGCTCTTCTATATAAAGGAAAAGTAGCATTTATATATTATTATGATTCTGTCACTGAAACTTTGATGTCATGTTTCCGTTTTCTATCGTTGACGTCGATGAGTTATTCAGAACGGCCTTAGGATTATGACGCCAATGGTAGCGGGATTTAAAATGTTTATTAAGAATTATCAGTGGGAAAGGAAAATTTTAAATGTAAATATTTAAATAAAGTTGATAAAATGATAAAATAGGTAATAATAGTTTATCCAAAATTGATTTGTTTTTTTACTGAATAAATGTAACAGAATAGAATCTACCTGTCATTATAAAAGACATATTTTCAGCGCCAGCCTCCCTAGAACGAATCCTAAATCCGCCACTGACCCATTCTTGCTCATTACTTTATTTACATACCTCGTATTTATCTTGAAATGTTTGTTTTCCTTTTTGGTTTCAGAGATATCTCGAAAGTTTTCAAATTGGATCCTGCTATTTTTATTTTATATCAAAAATCAAGTACCGACATGTCAATATTCTTGACAGTATATTCAAAAACACAGAACTATATGTATATTTTTTAGATTTTAATAGTGATGCAGTTTATTGATGTCATTTCCGAGGAAATTTATTTTTAATTGAGTACCCAAATCAACTACAGCTTCTTTTTATAAAAAAAATACAAATCTTAATATAACAAATACTGCCGTGTTTTTTTTTTATTTTTACCTAAAGAAGTAGTAAAGTATTAGGTATTCTACACAAAATGACTGCCCGTAGTAAATGACAGGCACATGATAGGGTATAATATGGCAACACTGTGGGCCTGATGATTTGACAGGATCAATGATATAGATAGTTATATAGATTGACATCCATGTTTTTAAAAATAATAGGTAACTATTTTTTTTACTATTCAAAGGCTGTAAATTGGTTTTAAAACATTTGCCAGACAATATTGCCGCCCGCAAACGACTTGTTTTGAGCAATCTATATGACTATATATGTATCAATGACAACAGGCTCACAGGGTTGCCATATCTTAACTGTCAGTTCCCAGTGGCAGCATTTTGACAGTTCATTAGAATGCCTAATAGGTACGCGGAAACATAAATAACCTAACTTATGTTTACTTTCTCCCCAAAGGCTTTCAGATCCAATACGGACAAATTTTAATTTATTAACAATTGTAAATCGAGAATTTCTTTTCTCTAGATGTTATTTACTTTTGCGAAGGACGCATATACCCTAAGCTAATCTGGGACGACTACTTGTACAAACGACATTGGCAGAAGGGCGATAAAATCCGTTGGAGATGCACCAATTGCGACAAAACCAAGTGCAGAGCGTATCTGATGACCTCCGGTAGAACGGTTAAAGTGAACATTCAGTATGAGCACAACCACACTAGGCCTGCCAGTTTACTGAGAACGCCTAAGAGCTTTTTTATACCGCAGAAGATAATGTTGTTTAAGCATTAGGAACGGTTAGGGTATGCTTGTCTTTCTGTAGCAACTATATGGTTTATATTAATAATAATTATAGACAATAAAAGGTCTGTTCCAACAGTGGTCAGAAATCAGTCACTGAAACCAGGATTCTGTGCAGTATACAATACGTAATCTGCTGCGCATAATCCTGGTTTTAGTGATTGGTTTCTGACCGTTGTTGGAACATACCTTATATACTTCAATTGTCAGTACAATTCCATAATACCTCTAAAATATTAGCCAAACTGTTACACATTTCTGACATTTTGAATTCTGCCTATTAATTACAGTATACAGGGTATCCCATTAGTGCGTAATTGTTTGATATTTCAATGTGTATTATAGACTTGAAAATAAATTTTAAATAAAAGTAATACGGATTTGAAAAATGCATAAAATACAGGGTTTATTTAAAATCTGTTGATTTACCCGCAACTGTCTTTAACTTCTTAGACCCGAACAACAATGTGGCAACATCGCATTTAACTGAATGAGGATTGCGATTGCCCGAGGTAAATGCAAATGCATCGCCCAATAAAATTTTTAAAACGTAGGTTTTTAGGAACACAAAAATTAAACTTATCAACACAATATTTTTTAATACATATGTCTGTGTTTAACTTTTTTCCGCATCATTTATATCATCACAACTAACGTTTTTCTAGTGTTTCTGTTGTAAATTTTCCTGTGAGTATATATGACATTGAAAAAAGTTTAAAAGAATGATTTCTATTAAAATACAAGTAATGTGACGAAGTGCCAAGTATCTTTCGTTAAATGTCCCAATATTGTTTTCAAGTTTATGCCATGTATCGAGCTATAGCACAAAATTTGTCAAAAAACGGACCGATTGACATGTGACATATATTGTTAGATATAATAACTTTTTGACGCTCCAGATTAATTGTAATTAAACGTGTGTTTTTTTTTATCCAACTGTTGCAACAACGTTGGCATCGGTGCGGTTTCTACCTCTTTTTTTTTTCATCAATCTATCAACTTTGCTGCAATCCATCAGTTTCAATGTATTGTTTTTCCGATTAGATGTGACAACTGACAGCTGGATTGCGGGAATTAAGCAGAATTAGGGGGTAAAACGAAAAAATTGACTTTTAAAAATACATACTTTCAAATTAAAGTATATAGGTACATTTAAATAAAATTATAAACACAAATTTTAATCCAAAATGTCAATTTTATTTATTATAGCTTGTCTTTCAATAAAAGAAATTTCTTTGATGTCTTGATAGTTTACATGTCTAATTTGTGTATATTTTTTAAAATTAGGATTTTTTTCATTACTCAATTATATTCAACCAATAAAAATCTAATGACATTACTTAACTATTTAAGAACCAATCAGAAAATTCAACATAAAACCTGTCTGGCAACACTGTTGGCAACATACGTCAAATGTCAATTTCACTTTCACTTTGTCGCTCTAGCTGTCAAAATGATAATTTTGTAACAAATAAATGAAATAAAATATTGCATGACTCGTTTCTATTATTTAATTTAATAATCATAGAAAAAATATAGTATTCTACTCGCGGGTAATGGCTATTACTCACTCGTTGAATAATATACTATTAAAATCTCCTATGATTTTACTTTTCGAAACTTTGATCTTTTAATAAAAATTTAACATTAAATTCCCTAAATTTTCTATATCTTTTTTTTTCAAATGACTCAATTAGTGTGGATACGGGTTTTTGAGAGGTATTTTGGCAAATTTGGAAAAATACAGGGACATGCTTTAGGCTTCAATTTTGCCAAACAGAAATTTTAATTACACTACCATCTAATTTAAGAAACTGTAAAAAACAAACCGTTGCTGTTTTTCAAGGGACCCAGTCATCCCTTGGAATGGTGTTTAACCATTTTTTCTTTAAATTCTCATATTTAAGAAACTTAAAACACCTTTATTACCAGTCTTAAGTAAAGTACTTCTATAGTTGGATTTGAAACCAGAAACAACACATTCTAGGCATTTAAAAAGTAAAATGAAACAACCCAAAAATCCTTAATTTCAAGTTGTAGATACCAACCTACTAATTGTATTGATGAAAATACCTATTATTCAAACTTAAATACCATTTACTTATAAATTAATACCTTAAAGCTATAACTGAAAACTCTGACACAATTTTAAACACACTATTCAATTTTCAGCCATTTTGTATGCATAAAACTCGAAATTAAACCCTCATTTAAACTGCAATTTTGTTTATTGTATCACTACCAAGAATTACCATACACTTCCACCAAATTGTTCAATTTAAATACGGTTTAATTCTGTATTAAATACACTTATACACTATACAATTATTTTACTCGCACGCGGGTATGCGTGAACGTTTTAAAATGATACATCGAGCAATTATGCACTAATGAGATGCCCTGTATATTGGTCATGGCGACAGAAATGAAAACGTAACCCTAAATTTAAAACAGAATGGAATATACAGTGTAATCTTCTTTCTTACGTTAAAGTTATAAGCATTTTTATATTAACCTGAATATCTATAAATTTCTGATTTAATGTTATCTACTTTTCTGTTTTTGCTGTCACAAACTACTGATAGTGTTTCTTATTCCTTTTCTTAATTCTTCTTTTTATCAAAATCACTTCAATGTTTCTTGCTACAGACTTTAAACGATCCACACTGGATAATTTCAGATTGGATGCTTTTAATAAGGACACCCTATTTATTAAATATTGTATTTTATAAAGCATGATGTTTTCTTGTATTTGTATTTGCATAACGTTTTTATTATTGTATTTTTAATTTATTTTAGAAATATTTGTTTATGTAATTTGCTTAGTATTTTTTATATTCTTTAAGAATTATAATTTTTATTTGTTTTAAAATTATTTGTGTATTTCGTAAAAT